AAACTGATAATGCTGTGAGCACAGAAAAGACATTTGTGGTTATTTCATTATAACTGTTATGTTATATTTGTCTGACCTACAAGTGCCTCTTTAATGTAAATGTAAGCAAGATGACTGAATGATCAAAAGCAATGTCAAACTGGCCAAAACACTCAATTTCAGTGGGGGTTGAATAATTTTGGGACACAACTGTAAGTACCTGAAATAAATAAATGGACAACTGGTTTGCTTACATCCAACTATCCATAGAGCTGAGTAGGTTGTACCCATGTCTGCTCTGCATTAGTAAAGCAGACACAGACCTGTCATCTGCCTGCTCTGCTCAGTGAGGGGATCAGTGGAAAGTTCTCCTGCTGAGCAAAGTGGATCTGCCCTGTGTGAAAGGGGCCTTACAAGGTACAAATCCCACACTGTGAAAATCACATCACTTGCTATCCTTTTTTTCATTAAAGAATAAGTTTACCTAAAGCAAAAAAAAGTCAAAAATCAGCACAAGGGACATTCTTTGCCTTCAGTAGGATGTGTCCCTTGTGCTGCTGTGTTGTTTCACAGAAATCATCCTCTGGCAATGCCTCCCTCTCCTCTGCCCCCATAATCTTGCAGTATGGCAGGAGTTAATAGAATTAAGGGGTTCTAATCAAGAGAGCCCAACTATACCCATCCTTTCCACCTACCTCCTCCATTCATAGAAGCTACAGCTTCTATGATGGGAGGATGGGCGTGTGCTTGATAGGTCTATCCCCTCCATTCATAGATCATGCTGTTCATTCTGCAGTAAGATCACACAGCATCATTGTACCATAGGATTGTGGCGGGCTATCTAACAAGGCCAGAAACACCACATCCTGATTATATGAAGATGTCAAAACAGTACTACTTGAAGATGGACTTTTAAGGTCCCCAAAAACTCTACATACATTAACATAGAATAAATACAATTGTATTCACAATTTTAAAGATCAATATCCAAAGTATTTAAAAAAGCTCTTAGAGGTGCATAACTCCCTCCTGCACGGGGAATCCCTAGACATAACTTTTCACAAATGATCTTGCAACATGCATGTATTGTCAGGTCTAAGCATCCCTCGCCCACATGTACTGTATATCAATGTTGATCTTGTTGAAGATGTCATAGGGATTATACTTTCTCTACGTGTGTCACAGGATGTGGCCTGCTTCCTCAGGAGGATGGGGAGAACAATAATTCGGTAAGATTGATGATAGATATGGCATAATATTCCATCGTCTTCAAAAATCACAATTTTACTTAGCAATTGATAGTACAGCACTCATTTTTGGAATCCGGCATAGATCAAAGCTATGGGGAGAGTGTAGGGGCACTTTCAAAGGATTGCTGAAGAAGGGGAGAGGATTATTACATTTTTAAAGGGGTAAGATAACCTACACTAAAATAAAGTGTATCCTAGCTATGAACACATATACTTGCAGGAATATGGGGATAACAGGTAAGTACTCCCACCCACCTGGTTGCAAGAGGAAGCCTCATACTTATGATGTCAATTCAAAGGTGCAAAGTCAGGCACTGATAATATTTTGTGGAAAATGATGTTTAGGAATTCCCTGTGCAGGAGGAAGTTAATACTCCTCCAAAGGAACTTTTTAATTTTTTTTAGTATGAGAATGCATATAACCAGAACAATGGCTGCAACATTTGGCCAAAAAAATTAAATCCAAAAAGACAATATACAGCATGTTAGCATAGGCTGGGAGAGATGTAACAGTGCTGGGTCAGGTCTAATGGTGTATATTAGGACATTTGAATGGATGGTGGTCGGACTAATAGGAAGCAAGCTATAGGAAGAGGGTGAGGCCTCAGTTTTTTGATTACGAAGTCCAAATAAATTTAAGAGGGAAGTGGAATGTCAATTGGAGGATCATTGGTTAGGAGTCAAAGTGGATACCATTGAGTATCTAAGGACACACTTTAAAATACCGTGGATATTTATTTTTTTATTGTGAAAAAAATTGTATTTATTTTATGTTAAAGTGGTTGTAAACCCTCGCATATACCCAGTAAAGTGACTATCCTTAGGTGATACACCGAGATTTGACAAATCCTCCTCCATAAGCTGTACCTGTTTATCTGCAACACTCTCTCCTCTAGAGCCTCCTAAAGTACACACTTTCTGAGCTCTAGAAGGAAGGGGGCAGGGATCTGATGTCATACACTGCACTGCATAGGAGTGTAATCTGAGACCTGAGCGAAGGGAAATGTCAGCTACTTCCACACAGTCTCATAGCAAAACGTGCACAGCTGAGACTGTCAATCACCCTCTGTGTACTAATGGGTGGGTAGAGCTGTCCACTAGGATTGTCTGGGGTCAGCATTACCTATCAGAATGACTCATGTAGAAAGCAGAGGGAAGAGAGAGCAAATAGGAACCACCCTTGATGACTTGGATTGAGTACACACTATAAAGCTTTATGATTTGTTCATTTTATATATATTAAACCCAACTTGAGCTAACACTTTGTAAGTAGTTACAGCAACATTTTTTTTGGGGGGGAAAAAAGGTTTAATCCGTAAGAATAAAAGCTGACTATTATAAGCACCCCAGGCGGTGTTTATGATTTGCACAACCCCTGGAATTTTCACCTGTGCTGGGCAGCTTGACTTGTTATAGAAAGCAGAAACACTATTGATTTCCTGGCATTTGCATTGAGGGGAGACCCAGACAAATAAAAAACTGTTCATTTCATTGACAAACTACGTCATGTAATATATTAGACATGTGCAGGGCCAAAATGTTTGTTTCATTTTGTTTCTGTTTTATTCATTGATTAAAGTATTTTGTTTCATCATATTTGTTATGTTGAACAGATTAATTTTCTAGATTCTTTTCTTATATCCAGCATATGTTTCATTTACTCATTTCTTTTGAAAGGATTCAATATTTTTTAATCTGATCCAAATTAATTGAGAAGAATAGCTGGTTGTTAAGGAGCAGGTGGCTGGCCACGTCCTTAACAACCATGGCTCATCTGCTGTCAGCAGGCTTCCCCGCTGACACCAGAATGTACACAAACAAGTGTTGGCATTACTAAAAAAAAAAAAAAACAGTGGGCATGTGGTCTGGTATGGTTAAGGGGGGGGGGGTGCTTGATCATCCCCTCTCTTTCCTGGTCTTCTGGGCTGCATGCTCAGTATATCTGGTTGTTAGGGAGCGGGCGATAGCTGTGTTCTCAACCGCTTACCCGCCGCCGTATAGCAGATATACAAAATCACATATATATACGTGATTTCGTGATTTGGCATTTCCGGGTAGGGGTGTATGCAAGCGCCCTACCCATGACGCCATTCACAGCTGCGGATGTCAATCACCGGGTCCCGGCCGCTGATTACCTGCTGGCCGGCAATCACTGATGGGGAGGAAGACTGTTTTGTTTACAGTCTTCCTCCCTGTCAGCTCGGGTATACTGCACAGCACAGCCACCCCGATCAGTTTGCTTACAGTGAAGAACACCCCCCCACCCCCTAGTGAAGCACACAGTTAACCCTTTGATCGCCCCTCACATTAACCCCTTCCTGCTCAGTGCCATTAGTACAGTGTCAGTGGTTTTTTTTTTTAGCACTCATCATGGTATTGGTGTCACTGGGGATGTCAGTGACACAAAGTTAGTTCCTCCCAGTGTCAGAATGCCCATCACAGTCCCGCAATCCCGCAGTCCCCACTAAAAGTTGCAGATCGCCGCCATTTCTAGTAGGAAAAGAAAAAAATCCCAGTATCTATACCGCCATTTGTAAACGCTATAACTTTCACATTAACCAATTAATTTACACGTATCTGAATTTTTTTATAGCAAAGACACAGAGCAGAATGCATTTTGGCCTAAATTTCTGACAAAATTAGATTTTTTATATTTTTTTACTGGACATGAATAAACAGCAAAAAGTACAAAATATATATATATTTTTTTTTCAAAATGGTTGATTTTTTTTGCTTATAGTGTCTACAATAAAAAACACAGAGGCAATCAAATACCACCAAAAGAAAGCTCCATTTGTGGGGAAAAAAGTATGTAAATTTCATTTGGGTGCGGCATTGCATGACCGCGCAATTGTCAGTTAAAGTAGCGCCGTAAGACAAAAAATGGCCTGGTCAGGAAGGGGGGGGGGGGGGAATCCTCAGGAGGGGTTAACAACCAAGACTCATCTGCTGTCAGTTAAGGACATGGCAATTGCCCATTCCTTAACCAGCTGTTCACAAATCGTTTTGGATCATTTGGATCATTTGTTAGGGCTCGTTCACACTTGGCTCTTTTACCAACGCTTGCCAAATGCCCCTATAGCGTTTGGCAAGCAAGCATTGGTCCGGCATTTGCAGAGTGTTTTTTAACACGCGGCAAACGCTCCGCAAACGCCACATGAGCGTTTAGCGGCGGTTGCTAGGCATTTGCCGAGCATTAAAAAACGCCCCACAAACACCTATAATGCAGTTTGAATGGTGTTACCGCTCCGCAAACGCCCCGCAAACGCGTCGCAACCGCCATAGACTAGAATAGGAGGCTTCAACGCCTCCTGACTCGACCAGAGGCGTCTGTTTTGCCGCGACACAACGCGACACAAACGCTCCCGTTAGAATAGCACCATGTGCTGTAATGTGCAGAATTAGCAGAGGCGTTTGGGAAGCGGTAAAAACGCTTCCCAAATGCCTCTCTGCCGCCTGCACACAACGCTAGTGTGAACGTAGCCTTACTTTGGATGTTTCAAACATCCAAATGAAATGAGTGAATTTGTTGTTTTGCTGAAATTTATATCAGATTCATTGAAATTTCGTACTATGGTTATTTTGAGATTCAGATGCAGCCGAATCTGTGAAAAAAAAATAAATTACAAATTTAAATTCGTAACAAAAAGAACCACACGTCTACAATATGTGGATTTTTGTGCTTAGTGCAAAATGGCACTTTAAAAGTGATACTAAACACACATTGTTTAACCTCCTTAGCGGTATTCCCGAGTGTAGCTCGGGGTAAAGTTTCAGTACCAAAAGCGGTGACCCCCCCCCGAGCTACACTCGGGAATACCATGCGGCGCTGCATAAGGATTCCCTGCAGCACTTACCTTGTCCTTCGCTCCGGCGATGTGTCCCCTGCAGTGTCCCCGGCCATCTCCTCCGGCCGATGCCGGCATCCGGCTTCTGTGTTCCGGTCCCTGTGACGTCGGGACGTACGGGCACCGCCGGCGGCGGGAAATTTGAAAATTTTTAAAAAATGTCATTTTTTTCAAAACGATTTTACGTAGTAAAACATTGCTGTTTCAAACCATTTCACATACATTTTGTCCCGAGTGCTTTGTCCGGCGCCCTGTCTGCATTTTGAATGTTCTTTCTGCCTGGAAACTGAGAAACGTCCATGGTGTCCAAAAAGGGTCCCTTTAGGTCAAAAGCGGGTTTAGATCAGCTAGAGAACAGCGATAGTAAATCAGAACCACTTGCAGAATTGAGTGATAATGATTCGTGGGGGAAATTCCTCATCAGACACTGAAAACGATTCTGCGACTTTGCTCAGCGATGTGCGAACTTGGCGCTATATTTCACATTTCAGTGTTTTTGGTTTGATTATATTATTGAATTACATTTATTATTATTATATTATTATTTTATATGATTATTTATTAAATTATAATTTATGATTTCGTGTTTCAAATGTTATCATCCCCGGGATGTTTACTAGACTCTTGTTCGGACAGATTTCAGGGAGTTATTCCTAAAAATTACAGCCTACAATAAAAAAACAACATATTTCCATGCAAAAAAATGGTACCGCTTTCAGCACCAAAAATATGAAATAATCAGACCGCCAGGGAGGTTAACCACCCTGTCGGTCTGATTATGTCAGTATTTCTGTGCTCAAAGCGGGACATTATTTTCAATGGAAGTATGTTGTTTTTTTATTGTAGGCCTGTAATTTTTAGGAATAACTCACTGAAATCTGTCCGAACAAGAGTCTAGTAAACATCCCGGGTAGGATAAAACTTGAAACACACAAATCATAAATTACAATATAATAAATAATCATAAAAAATAATAATATAATAATAAATGTAATTCAATAATATAATCAAACCAAAAACACTGAAATGTGAAATAGAGCGCCAAGTTCGCACATCGCTGAGCAAAGTCGCAGAATCGTTTTCAGTGTCTGATGAGGAATTTCCCCCACCAATCATTATCACTCAATTCTGCAAGTGGTTCTGATTTACTATCGCTGTTCTCTAGCCGGTCTAAAACCGCGTCTGACCTAAAGGGACGCTTTTTGGACGCCATGGACGTTTCTCAGTTTCCAGGCAGAAAGAACAGTAAAAATGCAGGCAGGGCGCCGGACAAAGCACTCGGGACAAAATGTATGTGAAATGGTTTGATACAGGAATGGAATACTATCAGATTTTAGTGTATTGAGTGAATGTCACATTTTTAAATTTCCCGCCGGTTCCATCCTCCGTACGTCCGTACGTTCCGGCGATCGCAAGGAACGGAACCTAGAAGACGGATGCCGGCATCGGCTGAAGGAGATGGCCGGGGACACTACAGGGGGAACATCGCGGGAGCGCAGGACAAGGTAAGTGCTGGAGTAACCCTGGAGCAACGCTGCAGTGTATTCCCGAGTGTAGCTCGGGGTTACCGCTTCTGGTACTGAAAATTAAACCCGAGCTACGCTCGGGAATACCGCCAGGGGGGTTAATTTATATTGCTCCTTCTCTTCCTGTATATGGACGATGGCACTGTAATTATTTTATTTTAAAAAAGGGAGGGACTGGGCTGTCATTTACCACTGTACATACGCCCACATGTGTGACTCTATAGTCACATGGGATGCTCAGATGTGATTGGGAGAAAATGCTCAGCATAGAAACTCACTGAAAACTGAGCATGTGCGGTATCTGCCAACACTGGTCTGCAACTGCATTGGGGACATGGACAGAAGGGGAAGGGAGGGATAGAGAACAGCAGGCTCAACAAGGTTTTTGTTTGCAGAATACAGAAAACAAATTCCATAGTGACAGAGTGAGTATGAACATTATTATTATTATTATTATTATTATTATACATATTTATGGCACCAACAGTTTGTTCAGCGCTTTACAATATTAAGGGAGACAATACAGCAAGCAGGGGCGGACTGACCATTTGGAAACACGGGCACTGCCCGAGGGCCCGGGGTCAGTAGGGGGACCCATGAGATGCCCCTGGTACCTTTTTCATAGGCTTTTTTGAGTTTGGGCAAGGACATAGGGGCCCCATGATCCCCTATTGCCCGGGGGCCCCATGAGTTGTCAGTCCGCCCCTGACAGCAACGATACAGTTCAATGCAAGAGGGTTAGGAGGGCCTGATCCTTGGAGCTTACAATCTAAGAGCATCATGTATTACAGCATTTATTGATAGTTTTTTTTTATGATGTGGGTTTAGTGACAGTTTAAATATGGACATATTGTTAAAAATGTTTAATTCGTTTAATTTATTTCCGTTTCCAGAAGCAGCGGCTTGCTCAGCTTGTCATGTTGATGCGACCTGTACAGAGTACATTGGAGGTTCCGTACGATGTTCCTGTAAAGCCGGGTTCACCGGAGATGGTCTGAGCTGTTCTGATATTGATGAGTGCGCCAACACCAGGACACATGGCTGCCACACTGGGACATGCCGCAATACCATCGGCTCTTACTATTGTACCGGTTCATCTAATGCCTATTCCTCCTCTGATCCGTGTTCAGGCCACGTCGTTCTCAATGAGCCCTGGCGAAGCACAGACCACGTACTAACAGGGACTCCATATTGTGATACAGACAAGAATGGATGGTATCGATTTGTTGGCAGTGGAGGCACTAGAATTCCAGAAGTCTGCGTTGCTAAGGAAAGGTGCCAGACAGACGCCCCATTGTGGTTGAACGGAAGACATCCAGCCATTGCTGATGGTATTGTAGAACGCACCGTTTGTGCACATTGGCTTTCAAGCTGCTGCGAATTTTCTGGAAAAATCCAGGTTAAAGCCTGCCCTGGTGGATACTATGTGTACGGAATAAATGGGACCCCCGTTTGCTCTTTAACCTACTGCACTGGTAAGCAAAGGATTACACAATGGAATGTGCGCCATTCTTTGGCAACTATCAAGAATCACTAGAACATAATATTAGCTAAAGACACAAAATCATAAGATGTCAATAAAGAGATAGGATATAACACGGGGAAGCAAAATTGAAAAATATTGACAAATAGAAAATTTGATCGCAGATGTTGAGGATAACCTTAATAATCAATATGGAAAAGCTATGAAATAAACAAAACCAAAATCACAACTGTAGGTAAACATATTGAGGGGTCCCCAACATCTCCGCCCTAAATTCCTGGTTCTGCACACCTGAGATTCCTGGTTTCACACCTGATGTGCCCATTATGAGGAGTTTCCACCATCCCTCTACTGAGTTCCCAGGTCTGTACACCTACTGCGCCTATTATGAGGGGTTCCCACCATCCCTGTGCTGAGTTCCCAGATCTGTACACCTACTGCGCCCATTATGAGGGGTTCCCACCATCCCTGTGCTGAGTTCCCAGGTCTGTACACCTGCTGTGCCCAATATGAGGAGTTCCCACCATCCCTGTGCTGAGTTCCCAGGTCGGTACACCCGCTGTGCCCATTATGAGGGGTTCCCACCATCCCCGTGCTAAGTTCCCGGGTCTGTACACCTGCTGTACCCATTATGAGTGGTTCCCACCATCCCTGGGCTGAGTTCTCAGCTCTGCACACCTGCTTTGCCTACTATGAGGGGTTCCCACCATTTTTGGGCTGAGTTCTCAGCTCTGACAACCTGCTGTGTCCATTATGAAGAGTTCCAACCATCCTTGTTAACTTTCTTTTAATGTTTACTACTCTTTTCTTTCAACACCATTCATCATTTTTGAGAAACAATACTGTATGCTTGGAGAATTTTAAGTAATTGTATAGGTTGAGGACCCCAGCAAGCCCAGGAAAGACCAGAGACATAGGGAGTATCTACAAATGCTAATTCTTTGGGTCCGACATGGCAATGCCCACCCTTACATGGATATGAACATCTGAGATCTTTTGTTACAACCTTTTTTTAGAGGAGAAGAAAGAACAAGAATATTGTCCCTTCAGAGCCTAAACAACATGTACATAAACATACAATAATTGTCATCATGAAACCAGACCGAAAGACAAGCCTTGAAATATACCCTACCCAGATGGCTGAGTCAAGCATTCTAATCAGGGTGCCCCATTGTTAGGCAGGTTCTAGAGATAAACTGGAGCCTAAGAAAATAAATACAATGAAGGAAGGGAAGAAGCAGAGAGGGAGAATGACAAAAGGTGAGGGATGACCAGAGGGGTGGGGGAGGAGGACAACGGGGTTATAGTTTGCCTTCTGGGGATCACATTCAAACATTCTACAGGTGCCTATAGATAGAGAAGGGTAGCCTGGCCCAGCATAGATAGAGTACAGTGGATCCAGGCTTTGGGGAAACTTTAGGGAATTTTGCTTAGGGTTTAGAGACCATCAAATATTAAAATAACATCGCAAACCATTCTAACTTTCTTCTAATTGCAGTTGTTCCCTTCTGGTGTTCTGGATGCCCAGTCTAATTTGCAATAAAGTGCCTTTCATAACTAGGAGAATATTCTCAGGTTTTACAAATGATCATGTGACATCTGCTCCATATTGTATATGGGGAGTGAGCAATCAAAATCCAATCTGCAAGAGATGAATCAAATTAAAAGTCTGTTTAATAGAACAAAGATGGAGACAATGTCTGGCACTGTTATGAAGGTGAAAAGAGGGAGCTTGACATTCCATATGTTCTCCTTTTTGTTTTTGAAGCACTGGTCTCTCAAGTAGGGAGTGGAGACTGAAAATGGATTTTTCCTTTGGGCAAAATTTTGTCTCTCTTTGACTCCAGTGCATTTTGCTGAAGTTTCACCAATGAAAACAGAAATATCAGTTTAACTCCTCCTTCTAGGGATAAGGATTTTCCCTTAGGACATCTTTATGAAAATGCATTGGAGTCCTTTGGAGGTGCAAAATTGCCAAATGTAAATGCTTATTGCTTCTCTTAACCCTTTGAGGACCAAGGGACGTATTTGTCCCATGTTTTTAATTGCCTGTATCATCTGATTAAGAACATAAAATACTTTTTTTTTTTTTGGTTTGAGTCAAAATAATAGTTCTTATCAACAAATGGATCTAGCTTTTTGCCAATTATTTCATGAAATGGCTTAGTTACAGCAAATGAAGTGTACAAACTTTAAAAACAAAAAATTGATTCTTTTGGCGTTCCGTAATCTTATGGTTCTCAAAGGGTTAAGGTTCAGAATAGGAACT